CTGTGATGTAAATGCAAGCTAAAAGGTATTCAACCTGCATCATCAGACAAAGATGTTTAATGAGACCTAAGAATGGATAGACAATAACTAAGTATAATATGTTTTGGCAGCTTTTAATTGAGCTATTACTGATATATTTGCTGTCAGATTCAAATGTTTAAAGTACAGTTATTACGATTGGTATCCAATTCAACTACTTACCAATAACCTAAAAATACTGCATTGGTTTTACCTCTTCATACCTATACTTATCTCTTTCTTTCTTTCTTTCTTTGTGTGAGATGGGCAAAAATGCCAAAATATGATGGCACCATTACAACATACAATGCTAACGCCTACTGTTGGGCACCATCCAAAGCCTGTTTAAGTCAATGGGTCTCATTTACATGACATGAATGGTCTCTGGGCTTGATCGTTAAATCTGGATGGATGAAATGCTACCCTCGTGGAAATCAGTGGGAGATTTCACCACTGATCTCATCAGGGCCAGGATTTCACCCAAAAATCTTTATATCAATAGCATTTTTTTAAAATCACCCAACTTTTGGTTTCAGTATGCAGTGATTAATTTGTATTTGCAAACATAACTGAGCCTAAATGAAGTGTCACTGATATTGGTGCAGGACTGCTAAAAATGCCACTAGGAATGAAAGGAGACATGCAGTAACCTTGTGGGGTTTTTTTGTATTCTCATCAGCGGCATGCCAGTGTAAGAAGGCTTCAAGTAACAGAACAAACTGTGGACCACCAGGAATCACACCCCAGCAGTGTTTGGATCAAGGATGTTGTTTTGATTCAGCAGTCCCTAATGTTCCCTGGTGCTTCCATCCTCCACCAAAGAAATGTAACGTATCTCCCTGACATGGCTGATCTTTCTCAGACTTAACTTGGTATAAATGTGTACTGGTGTGGGAAGGGGAAATAGCATGGTATATACCATACAAAGGGCAACCTAATGGGTGCAGACTTCCATAAGAAAACTGCAAAGAGTAACAGCAAGGATATTAGCAGCCTTGGTCAGCATTCAAACCTTACTTTCAGGTCTTGTATACATTTTTTCTTGTACTCATTACACCAGTAATTTGTTTTGCTTTATGAGTATCTCAGTTATCAGATTATCAAACACTCAACTGTGGCTTTTTGGCAAAGTTTAATTGTATGTTATGGTTTATGTGAATTTGTTTTCAGAATCTATATGGGACTTCAGATTTTACATAGGAAACAGGTCAAAAACTCACAGAACACATTCAATGCCTGCTATAAGAGATCATTCCCATTCTAGGACCTTTTGGTCTTTTATTCTCCTCAGTATCTCCTGATTCCAACTAATTATTTCCAGTGTCACTCATTTCCCCCTGTAGCTACCCTCTCTTGTTCCCCACTCCCCCCTCACCGACTTGCATTCCCAGCCTTCTCCCTCCTTGTGATCTTCAAGTAAATTCCCCATCTGTACACCCTCAACTCCATTAGCTTCTTCCTTGACCAAATGATACTAGAGTGTCTTAAATTTGCTAGTAGTAGCATTAGTGTTTCCCTAAAACATAAAAAGATTATTCCCATGCTTTGTCTCTAAAGGAAACCAGGCATCCATGAGTGAGAAACATAAGACCATGGCTCTGATCACACAATATCCAGGCATCCTGCTATGCTCACCTGCAAGACTGGGGCCATGGGTGTAACTCAGAGCACTAAGGATATGTCTGAGGAAACTGTTCTGAAGAGATTCTGAGCTGGGGATAGTACCTACTACAAAGAGTTTACTCCTGTGCAAAATGTATGGAATAAGTTTGGCTTCAAATAACCTGTAAAATAGTCTGTTGTACCCTGTATCCTAGGTAAGGAGGCAAATCTCTACTTAGCAGTAAGGAGGCCAGAAAAAATGTTTGAATAGGAAACACTAAAATGTGATTCTGTTTTGAAAAATGAGAAGACTAAAAGACATCTTCTTGGCAGATGCAACCCCCAGTGTTCTTAGAGTTACATCTGTTGACCCAAAGGAAAGAAGCCTTTATTCCCATTACCACTAAAAAGCCAGAGCTCTGGGAATGAGACGCATTTTATTTCTGCTTGTGCATCACCATGAATATTATGTGCTAAGGGATGGATCCTCAGGAGGACTTAAGGGTCTAACAGGCCACTGTAGACCCTCTGAGTCTAGATGCACCAAAGGACTCAAGCACAGTGAGCAATGTAGAACTTTATAGGCATCTTACTCACAGCAGAAAGCACAGTCGTAAGGGAGGCATCTAGGGTCCCTACGCATACAGGAAAACAGACAGGTACCACAAAATGTGATCCACTAAAATCAGTGCACTGCAGACGGAACTGGTATCCAATGGGGAATACCAAGGAGTGGGTTGTGTCTGATGTCCCACCCCTTCTTGGGCCTTGGGCACTTTATTCAAGGCTACAGAGAGAAACTACTCTCCATGTAGGATTCACAGCCAGGGATCCTCTGTGGAGAGCAGACACTTTTGCCTGCAATACAAAAATGGAGCAGGGGTCACTCCTTTTCTTCAAAACGCAGCCAGCTGAAAACAGAGAGAATTTGAGCACGAGTCTCACCTCCTGGTTAGGCATCTCACAGTAAAGACTTTGGTTTCAGTACCTGCTCCAAGGACAGTTTATGCAGCCCAAGGGATAAAATATATAAATGGCCTTTGGAACAGGGACCTGGGCTCAGTATTCCTGTGTCTCCCAAGGCCATTTATTGAGCACTAGGCTACACAGTCATGTTCCCTCTTGCATTTTCTTTCTCGGCACAGTCAATCTTTAAGTAATGCCAAGTGGAGTAGCTTCATCAGGAGGGAATAAGGGTACCCTCCCTTCCTTTCTTCACAGTTTATGTGGAGGTTACTCCCTCCTGCACAGTTAGTGGTTAGGTTACTCCCCTGGAAGGTGAGAGATGGGAATTTAAATCCCCTCATATAGAATCCTCCTCTCTCACATCCTGGGTCAATGCTCTAACCACTTAGCTTTCAATAGACCCTGTCTACCCCTGGCAGCTATGTTTGGAAGGAAAGCTGATTTCAGCAGCCACACTCTGACAATGCCTATGGAAGTTGAGGAGATACAGGCAGAAATGCCTAATGTCTTGATTACAGTTGGGCAGAAGTGTACATCAGGCACCCATGCTGAACAGCTTTAATGAGGCTGAGGTGCTTCTGGGCATTCCTAGAAGCTACTGTAACTTTTTAACATTGAAAACTGGGGAGTCTACAGACTAATGGTTCCTCCTGGGTTTCCTGGCAAGGGACTGAGGATTTTGAGAACCAGAAGTTTGGATTTAGATCACTAAGTCCTTCCTAGGTTCCATTTAAAGGACCTGGGTTGTTTGTGGATCTGGGTCTAGGTGCCAACATTTGGGGTTGAGGATTTTGCTGTCAAGGTGCCTTAAATTTAAGAACGGAAGCTCTTGGCTTTTAAGAGTTGAAGTCCTTTTGTGGATCTGGCCCCAAGTCCCAATCAGTTACAATCAGTGCAAACACACTGGTGGCCACTACAACTATATGGCTGTCACTGAGCACATCACTGAAAAGAATGGGACTACAAGGCTGTGACAAAGAGCAGTTATCTAGCAGAAACTTTATCAAGGGCTATGCAATACACTAGCTGCAAAGAACCCAGTTGTGCTGCCAGGATGCATGCTAAGTCTGCACAAAGTTAGAAGCAGAAAAAACCCCAATCTTCTTATTAATAGAATGCATTCCATATATATATATATATATATATATACATACACACACACACACACATACACACACACACATATATACACACACACAGGCTAATATTATAAAACCCTAAGTCTGTCTGTCTGTCTGTTCATAATGCTTTATTTGCGCTCTGATTGGGAATGCAAGTAGGTGAGGGGGGGAGTGGGGAACAAGAGAGGGTAGCTACAGGGGGAAATCAGGCCCTGAGCCTGATCTACTTCTGCCTTCTGCACTTCCCAGTGAGTTGCTGTGGGTTTAGCTCTTTCCCCTAAGCTAATCTAACACCCTTATTGAAGAACCCGCTTCTGTGGCACCCTGATGAAGAACCTAGTGTTCAAAAAAACCTCCACCAGCCACTCTGCTTTCCACAAATCACTCTCCCCTTGTTTGCCGGGTACTTCTAGGATACAGTTTGTCTCCTGAGGCAGAATTCTTTCCTTAGACTAGTGGTTCCTAACCTGGGTCATGAGCCAAATGAGGGTTGTGGGGGCAATGACGGTGGCATTGCACACAAAGGATGAGCCGCACTGTGTGCTGGGAGCTCCCCCTCCTCATCCCTGGGGCTGCCGCCACCGCACTCTGCCCCCAACAGTGGGTCATGGCAAAAAAGGTTGGAAACCACTGTCTTAGACCCATGGGACATCTCCCTCTCATTCTCATTATGCACACTGCTTAACAAGGGAAATTAAACTTCTGGGAACCTGGTGCCTGAACACTGCTTACAAAGCCTCGCATGGTTGGTATATTCAGTAAATGACCAAATTTTGGTGACTTACAGTTCATGAAAGCCTACTCTATGCTGCACTGCTGTTATGTTAAGCATGACACACATAACAAAAGTGTTTAGTGAGACAAGTAAAGACCACTATTGTAGCTCATAACTTTTACCTTTCAGACATAAAGGTCTTGGCTTCTTGATTCCTAACTCCTTTATACACTTGGAATATTTAAATTGAGCAGCACCTATGGTTAACAAAGTATGGAGGAATGATAAGGCAAATTGTCTGCTCCCCTGAACTCCCTTTCCAGCATTCAGAGTAATAGATTCACTAGAGCATGGTGCACTTTGGCAATCCACAGCAACTTGATGACTTCAATTTGCCTTTGTCTGCGCCTATGGCCAAGGCAGGACAGAGAATCCTGCAGCTGTTAGCAACCTCTGTGACCACTTCACTCATCTCCATCCCATGCAGTTCATGGCTGATTTAGTAGAAACTGCCCCTCAGGTTCAATGTCCAAGTCAAATGACTGAAACTATTCAGCTAAGAATTTAAATTGGTGGATTACTGCTAAACAGCCTGTACTCTTCAGTTCACCTGTATCTATTGTACATCTTCTGCTTATATTGTAGGCTACAAGGTCCTAAAGTAATGAGAGGAATAGTCATAATAACAGTAACAACAATAGGATATATGAAACATGGGCACTTCTCTTTTTTTTTTTTTTTAAACAGATATAGATATATGCGTGATAGAAATGGCATACAGAAAGAACTGTGGCTACCCTGGCATCTCAGCTGAGGTCTGTGAGAAGAAAGGTTGCTGCTTTGACTCAGCTCCCCCTGCCGTTCCTTGGTGCTTCTTTCCTGAAAAGGTGGAAGAAGGTAATAGTTATGTGTAGCAGTGTTCAGTTTTGCCAGCACCTGAATACACAGGAATTTGTAGCGGAGAATCACAGCATGTTACTGTCTGGTGGGTATCATGCTTCATGGGTTAAAAGTTGGGAAAGGATCCCTTTAGAAAAAATGTTATGGGAACCTTTGCCATTACTACATTGTGATAAAGTTCCTTCCTGTGGGTGTGAATGAAGTATAGGTGTTTAACCTTAAAAAGTGAAAATGATTTTTATATGAAAATGGCAGCTGTCAGTGTCACCTGCAGTCACACATGGCATGTTGCAATAAAGGGAAATTAAGTCATATCATACTGGGAT